CATAGATGTATCTTTCACCGTCACTTGGCTTTTGGTAGCTCAGACAGCCCTCATAGAAACACTTATGCGAGTAATAGCACCAGAATCTATCCACCAAGTGTTTCTAGGTATGGAAGCTAAATTATCCTCTAAACATACCAATGTAAGAATTGTATCTTTCTTTGCACGTCATGCGTGATATTTGGTACAGTCCTTCACATGTCCAGTCTTATTGTAAAAGAAACAAGTTCTTTTATCTTCCTTCTGTTTCTTTTGTGCTGGACCCTTAGGAGCAGCTTCATATTCCTTCTTCTTTTTCTTGCCCTTATCCTTAGAAGTGCTTGCTAAGTGAGCAGTTTCAGTTCTATCTTGTTTTAACCTTTCTTCCTCTTGCACACAATATGAAATGAGCTCATTTAGGGACTATTTCTTCTTCTGACAGTTATAACTGACCTTAAATTGACTGAACTATGTAGGAAGCAAGATCAATACCAAATGTAAGAGCAAGTCGTCAGACAGCTCAAGTTTTAGCCCTTTAAGTTTTGAAGCAATGTAAGACATCTCCATGATGTACTCCCTTATATTCCCCTTGCATTTATACTTTATTGAAATCAAGCTTTGCAAAAGCGTGCTTATTTCAACCTTATCGTTTTTCATAAAATGTTTCTCAATTTCGACAAGGAACTCCTTGGCATTAGTTATCCCTTCGGATACTGCACCTCTACAGGCTTCCGGAATGCCGAGCTTAATGATCATTAGACTCATGCGATTTTGAGCGATCCCACTTCTCAAAGTTCCTCTTTTCATTAGGAGAACTCCCTTCCGTAAGAGGAGTGGGTTCCTCAATCCGAAGTGCAAGGTCAAGATCCATGCAGCCAAGAACAATCAATATGTTCTTCTTCTAATCCTTGACGTTTGTCCCATTAAGTATGGGAATGGAATTGACTTTAGTAACATAATTTGAGAAAGAGAATCATTAATTTTGCATTATTAGATGCCTTTAGAAACTTTAGGGACCTAAGGGCTAATAATTCAAAACTTTGGGATCAAAATTTGAAAATTTTAAAAACTTTGGGGGCCAATTTTAAATAATTATAAAGATTGAGGGCTTTAATTGCAAATTTTAGAAGTTTAATGACCCAAATTAAATAATTTTCAAACTTTAAGGGCTGAATTATTAAAACTCATAACCTTAAAGGTCCAACTTGGATGGATTTCAAACTTTAGGGATTGAAATATAAATTTTTAATTTGAAAAAATAATTAACCCTAATTTTAAATTGCAAGCAAGGGCCTGAGAATACCAAAATTGCACCTCAGACCCCCGTCCCCAAAATTCATCCCTGAATATCTCTCTCTTTCACATTACAGGTGTCGGCAAGGGCCAGCGCAGCCCGGAACCGCGGTGCCAGCCCACGCCAACAGTGGAACCATGCGCTGCTGTTGAACCTCAACAATACAATGTTGAAGAACCTTCCATTCAAAATAAGGGAATTGTTCCAGAAGTACAAACCCAACAACCTCAAGAACTACTATTAAGGAGATCTATGAGAGAGGAAAAATGCTATTCCAAATGATTTTATAGTATTTCTCCAAGAACATGAGGAAAATAATAGAATGATGAAAGATGATCCAATCAATTTCCATCAGATCATGCAGGGCTCTAACTCTCAAAAGTGGATTGATCTACCTATCGCTCTTCGTAAAGGTAAACGTTAGTGCACTTATCCTATTTCATCATTTGTTTCTTATGATCACTTGTCCTTGTCTTCTTGCTCTTTTGTTGCCTTCATAGACTCTATTACTCTTCCGAAAACTGTTCATGAAGTCTCATCTCATACTTGTTAGTGTGATGCTATGGTAGAGGAGATTAACGCTATAGATGCTAATGGTACTTAGGATTTAGGAAATTTACCAGGAAAAAAAGGCTATTGGATGTAAGAGGGTGTTTGCAGTCAAAGTCAATCCTGATGGATCAGTTGCGAGACTTAAAGTTTGTCTTGTAGCTGAAGGCTATGCCCAGACTTATGGTGTGGATTACTCAGACACTTTCTCTCCAGTAGATAAATTAACATCCGTTCGATTGTTCATTTCTCTGGCAACTACACATAATTGGCCCTTACATCAATTAGACATAAAAAATGCTTTCTTACATGGTGGTCTCCAGGAAGAAGTTTATATGGAGCAACCACCTGAGTTTATTACTCAAGGGGAGTATGGAAAAGTGTGTTATCTTCAGAGGTCCTTATATGGTTTGAAACAGAGTCCACGTGTGTGGTTCTAAAAATTCAGTCATGCAATGGAAAAGTTTGGAATGCAAAAGATCAAGACTGACCACTCAGTCTTCTACAAACAGTCTGAATCCGGTATTATTCTTCTTGTTGTATATGTTGATAATATTGTTATTACTGGCAGTGATACTATGGGAATTTCATTTCTGAAGTCCTTTCTTCACACTCAATTTCAAACGAAAGACTTAGGAGTGTTGAAGTATTTCTTAGAAGTTGCGGTGACAAAAAGCACAAAAGGCATTCTTTTATCTCAGAGAAAATATGTATTAGACTTATTAACAGAGATAGGAAAATTAGGAGCTAAGCCAAATAGTGCTCCAATGCTTCTTAATTTGCAACTTACAAAAGATAGTGACCTATTTGAAGATCCTAAGAAGTATAGAAAACTGATTGGGAAATTGAACTATCTTACAGCAACTCGTCCTGATATTGTGTATTCTGTCAATATTGTAAGTCAATTCATGTCTCCTCCAACAGTTCACCATTGGGCAGCTCTTAACTGAACTTGACCTTCAAGTTTCAATACCAGCAAAGTTATTTTGTAATAATCAAGCTGCTCTTCATATTGCTTCTAATCCTATATTCCATGAACGAACCAAGCATATTGAGATTGACAGTCATTTCGTTCGTGAAAAGGTGACAAAATTTGATCTCTACAGGATATGTGAAAACTGGAAAACTAAGAGATATTTTCACCAAGGCTTTAAATGGGATTCAGGTACATTATATCTGAAACAAGTTGGGCATGATTAATATCTATCCTCTAGCTTGAGGGTAGTGTTATAGAATGTACAGCTTAATTATAGAAAACCCTAATTGGGAACCTTCCTAATATAGCATTCCTATTGTGTGAGATATATATATATATATATTTACACACACACCGTCTCTTATAATGAATGGAACAAGAAAATTATTTTTCCACTCCTAATTAGAAAGAGAAAATTAATTGATGTTACTTCTAAGTCTAGGGTATCTAGATTTAGGATTTGTTCTGTAGACTTAAAAATTTTATTTATATCATGCTACAAGAAGTCCTCTCGCATTCATTCGCTAAGTTTTAGGTTTTATTATCTTCAAATACATCATAGTTATTTGCTTTTTTATGGTTGTTATTGCAATATAATTTTAATAATGGTTCACTATGTTAGAGATGCCTTTGGCTATGTGACGCTGAATGTAATAGAGGAATTATAAGAGAAGGGGAAAGGGGAGAGAAGAAGAGAAAAGAAGGGGGAAGGAGAGAAGAAGATGGGGGAAGAGGAAGAGGAAATAGGGGAGAAAATATCAAACTTTATTCATTCCAAGGTTGTTTGAATTACATCACATAAGCCCCTTTATATAGGGTTGTAAAAGACCCTATTCTGAGTAGGAAATATATAATAAAAGCAACTAAATTAAACTTGATTATGTTTCCTAAAATACGAATTAAAATTGGTTACTAAATATAATAATATCAATCTAATATTCCATCACTATGTTAATGAGAAAGTAGACGAGTTAGTGGATTTTATAAATTTTGGTGGTGTTCATAAATTTTATATATTGACCAATGAGTAGTGAATATGAAAGGGACAATGAGTCAAAAAGGTTACTATTCTTAAGGTAAATTAATGTATATTTTAGGATGGATAATTGCCCTCATGGTCAAAGAAATATATGTGAATTGCACTGATGGGTTGGGCAGTATCACTAGGAAAATGGGTACCCCTATGACAATTTATATGCACAGAGGTTCAATTTTTCTAAGATATAAGAACTGAGGATGGCTTGTCTTTTGGAAACCTCATGATTGAAAATTGCCATAGGTTGGTGGAGCGACAACAAACTCTGATCTTTATGCTGTACTTTAAATTGCTAAAGTATCCTGTGAAATACATAAATAACTTTGTGTGTGTCCATATTCTCGCTGGATTCGTTCAACGATATTAGGATACATGATAGGACAGGAACGGGCAACTTTTCCGGTCGTATTTTTCATTCCTGAACATAAGATACTTATTTGTTTCCACTTCTAGCAATGCGTCCAACTATTTTAAGCTTTCTTTTGTACTTCCAAATTTTAAATCAGCATTTCAACAGAATCATAGTCCTCCATTGAGTCAAATACCGAGGGTCCCAACATAAAATAAATAGTGTTGGTGCAAGAAAATGCATTACTAACCAGACAAAAATAATGTATTAGAATCTGTTACTTGAAATGCTGCACAAGTAACTTAACAGTTTACAGTGAAGTGGAGAGACCGTGTATAATTTTTCTCACGTGTCAGTGTATGATAGTTCTACAATTTTTCAAAAGCATGTAAATATCACACTTTGAAATCAAATTCCAAGTACCCTTGAAAGAGTCTAAGCATGGCAAGTGTTCTCCAAATTTTGCCAAAAAGATTGTAACTTGGGTAGTTCTAATGCCATTGCATTGTCCAAAAACATATCAGAGCAAGTTATTAGTTAACACCGCGAGTACCATAATGTGTGCTGTTTGTATTCAAAAGCAGCAACTGAAATAAGTTATTGAATAGTTGCATCAAACACATTCATCAACTTTTTATCCAAGCATTCATACATCCAAATTCAATCGATCAAGCTCAAGAGCTAAACTTAAAAGGCCCACTATTAATCCGTTGCAAAATTTTCCAACTTCATTATTACATTTTAACACAGCATTCTGTATTATAAACAAAAAATGAAAAATTGTAACATTCAAAATGTGTCGTAAGCAACAAATTACCTTCTTTAGTTCCAGCTTTGGGGGTGGAGGTTCCTGATAAAAGCTTGGCATTGGTGTTGCTTTGAAATTCAAACTCTTCCTTAAAATTTTAATCTCAGCTTCCTGTGTTTCCTATTTATGATAAAAAATAAAGACGAAGAAACTCGATCTCATAGTCCACCACTGAAAGTTTGAAGTCATAATATTATATGAAATCTCACCTTAGTTTTGGCCTGCAAATTACTCTTCTCCGCTTCCTGTGCATGTATCTTTTCCTCAAGTTTTGAATAGAACTGCTCAAACAGAAAAAGGATAAATATCTAAGGTCCATGTCATTCAGGAAACATCAGAAGTTGGTACGACTGGTTTATGAAGGCTAACCTCTCTTCTTTTCTCAGCTCTCTCATTACATTTAAAACTGAAAGTATATTTTGGAAGAACACCCAATCTATTGGGTTTAACATCTCCAGCTATAGGACTTTGAGGAGATGCTGTTTTTGAGTTGTCAGCAGCTTGCCTTCCATTAATTGACCTACTTTTTGTTCCAGGAGCAGAAAACTGTTTTGGACATGACTTGTGATTGCCGGAACCATTTGAACCATCAGAAGATTTGACCACATCTTTCCCAAGTATGATGCTTATGGACTTCCCATTCTTGGCCTTGCCCATGCCCTTCTGTGATTTAGAGCTCTTAGACTCCTCAGCTCCAAGTTCCTATAGATAAATCGATTGATGAGAGCAAGATTAGCTATGATTAAATGTATATCAAACTTATTGTAAGTTACTCTGTCAAACATGATTTTCAAATTTTATTTACTAGAAAAACTTACTTTTAATTTACTTTCAAGAAAAGTAATTTTTAAGCATACATCATTTTGAATCAGTTTAAGCTATTCAACCAGCTAAAAGGTTCCGAATCTCCTACCTTGGAAATGGTGACGGAATCGTCTTTTGGTGGCGTTGCAGATTCGTCCATGGTTCTTTCTACAGAAGAGTTTAGAGTCACATCGTCATTCAACTCCAGATTGTTTTCTAGATTCTTGCTCAATCCCTCGACTTCTGTGCTTCCATTGGGAATAGCATGTACTTTCTTGGAAGTAATTCCTTCTCCAGAAATCGGGAGCCGTTGGTGAACACCATTTTCAAAGTCTGTCCCATTCTCAGAAATGGCTATAATATTGTCAGCATCCATTATAGTCAAGTACCTAAAGGAATCATAATAGGCATGATAAGCCTTAGCAGATAACACAAAACCCTTCCAACAAAATGGTGTCTTGAATAACTAGAGCATTGTTGATCGTCCCTTCATTTCAACAAAAGCCCAATAACAGTTCAACACAACAATCACAAAACAGAACCACACATACCATATTATTACAGTGCACTGAAACCAGTAAGCAACAAAGCATATCTTCGTCAACAACATATAATTCTTCCCGGGCTTAAGAATACAGAATTAAATTTTTTTATAACTGAGAAGAATAGAGAACACCTAAGTTTTGATATTCCTTCCCACTTCTCTCTCTTTCTTAATAATGTTCACTCCACATCTAAGCATGCAATTAACCTATTACTTCAGATAAAACCGTCAATAAAGAGTAGAACATAACAGTATCAGAAAAAAATAATAAGAATAAAAAAAATGACAGAAGACACTCCATATTAGTAGATCTTCAAAATTTCACCCAAAGATCCAATCTTTACTTCAAGATTGAAAAAACCCAAATCACGACACCCACATTCACTTCACGGCGACATACATTCATCCACACTAATGAACACATTTCCAAATAAACGTGCTCATTATAATGACGAAAAATGACTTCAAGACTTACCAGGAAAAAAAATGTGGAAAAAGAAGACTATAAGGTCATCAAATCAACGAAGAATTGAAAAGATCTGAAAGATGCTGAAATGCGTCTGGTGTCGTTTAGTTTTTGAATTTTGAAAAGAATTTGGGTTTTTTGGAAGTGATTTTTGTGTTTGGATATTTTTTTGTTTTTGGTGTGTCTTGAAATGTTTCCGAAAGGCACTTTCTTGAATTTTTTTTTTTTTCCTCTCTAACGTTAGATTATGAAATAGGCAACGCTTTTATTTATTATTTTTACTGGTAATAAAGAAATACTTACACCAGACTCAACCGTTCTACTCTGAAGTAATACTTAGCCTCGATTTGGCCCTCATTAGTTTTTACTACATTACATTATACTTTTCTCGCTTTTATTTTCATTCACACAATCTTTTATAAAATAATATTACACGTAAATAGAAAAATTTTCTTTCTTTTTCAACTACTCATTTTTTAAAAACATACTATTTCACCTATTTTAACTCTACAAAATGGGGGCAAACGGGGGCTTAAGTGACTTGTCTAACATTTACTATTAAACGAGGATTAATATTGTGTATTAAATATATACAAAGAGTATAAAATATATTTTTGAAGTAGAGATCTATAATTTTGAACAAGTGATAAACCATTGAGATTGTCCCACATCAGCAGTTGCTGGTGATGATGTTGCAACATCAGACGGCAGCAGTATTTTAATTGTTTTTATGGCCTTTTCAGTAAAAAATAAAATAAAAATCAGTAATTTCTTGTAAATTTTACCCAAGTTCCAAAAAAATAATAATAAAAAAAAATAGCATTGTTTAGTCAGTCAATTATATTTATTTATTTATTTATTTTTATCTTGGGATTTATCAAAAGGGTTTAAATGAATCAAATCAAATTCTTTTGAACAATTATTGCATGATTGGATAAGGTTTGTTGGTACCGTTTAAGAAACTAAACATGCACTTATAATCACATCATATGTCTACCTATGTTAGATTTGAATATTTATCCCCTGTTGGAGCTTATTTTGGGTGGATGTTAGATTTTTTATATAGAATAGTCATTCCCTGTTTGAGCTTATTTTGGGGCGAAAATATATTTTAGAACAGTAACTTTTTGAAAAATATGTGGTTAAAAAAAAGGAAGATTTTGAATTTACGTGTAAAATTATTTTATTGAAGTATATGTATCGTTGAAAATGAGTTTTTATAATATAAATTTATTGAAAAATGGAAACCAAACATAAGCTTAAAAATACTTGTATAAAAGGTGTCAAAATTTTTATTTATTTTATATATACATTGAGATCACTTTTATTAGGTAGTGCTATGTGTATACTTTTCGTGTACTTAATCGTTGACATCCCCTCACAGTGAGGGGGCCAACACATAATTTATTATACATGGGCCCCCATGGAGGTGGTGTCTTCTATTATGTATACTGAAAGTGTACAAGTAGTCCCTTGCTTGATCCCCATTTTAGGAGTAAAATGTACTATGTAATAGTAATGTTTTGGTGAATATGTGATTAAAAAGTAAGAAGAAAACTTTGAAATATGTGTATAATTATTTTATAGAAGAATGTGTATTGAAAATGAATTTTGAAGAAATGGGGCTCAAAAGAGGACTATAATATTATCCACTTTTATTAGATAAGTAATAGGCTTGATAGCTGATAATCCTTACATACTTAATGATATGCGATATACCTCTCTACTTATTGAAAATTGCAAAAAATGTCTCTATTTGAATGCTTGAGTGTGGAATACAACCTTTGAAGTGTGAAAATAACCTCCTGTATAAACTTTGAAATGTGATTCACTTTTTTACTGTCCAATTCCATTAGTTTAGCAGTTAAAAACAGTAAAAATTGTCTAAATTGAAAAGGAATTATTGTAGTTGTGATCCCGAGTTTTTTTTTTTTTTAACAAATTATCTCAAATTTGTATATGTGTCTCCCACAGTTCCGAACTGTTAAAATTTTATTTTCTTCTCCAATTTGAAAGGATAAAATGGTGGGGATTTCGTTGATCGTAATCGAAGGTAATTTTGGTTAAGCTTAATAAATCAATATGGAAAAGGGCGGGAAGGGTTGGGTTTGGAATTTTTTATTTTGTTTTTGGTTTTTTATTTTAATTATTTCTTATGGAATAATATAAAATTTTATATAATAATTTACCATTTTATCCTTTATTAAGCTTAATCAAAATTACCTTCTATCACGATCAGCAAAATCCCTACCATTTTATCCTTTCAAATTGGGGAGGAAAATAAATTTTTAAAGGTTTGAAATTTTGGATGGCATATATGAAAAATTTGAGCATAATTTGTAAAAAAAAGTAATAAAAAGTTAGGGATCACAATTGTTGTTACTCCCCGTATTAACTTAGCCATCAGAAAGCAACATGTGGAAGTCCCACTGACGTCATCGGAAGAGTAAACCCAAAACATATGAAAAGACGAAGCAACAAGATTACGAAGGCAGCAGAAAGCCAAAGTCCTTGTTCTAGCCGAGGTGCCACTCAACCAGATATATGTCGAAGCCCTAACAAAGGGTTTATGCCAAAGTCCTCATGTTCACGATCAGCTAAGGTTCTGAAAGACGAGGCTGAAGTTCCAAGAGACGAGGAAGCTACCACTTATGTCGACCTGACAAGTATCTTTGTGAAAGTCTAATTAGACGCTTACTTTATCTTATGTGAGGAATATCAACATAGAAGTCTAGAGCAGTTGACCCTTTGTCAATGTAATACACGTATGTGTAAGAAGGATGTGATATGTATAAGAAGGATGTAGAGGCATGTGATTCGGATCTACATGCCTCTACATATGCCTCTACATCCTTCTTATACATGCCTCTACATATGCCTCTACATCCTTCTTACATGCCTCTACATATGGCTCTACATCCTTCTTATACATGCCTCTACATTCGGATGCAAGGTCAATTGACCAACTCCTCACAAAACAACAAGGAGGTTGTTCCGTCGAAAAGAGAGGTAGATGTGGAGATGGTCGCCAACTACGCCATCCGCCAAATGACTAGGGAGATTGTCGTTCCGCCAAACTATAGCGGGCACTCACCCCGAGGAGGTTGGTCAATGTCTTTAATAGACTTGGTCTTACAAGGAACAGGCGGGAATAACCTCACATTTTGCCCACTCAAGCCAGACTCCCTCCAAACCTCTTAAGCCAGCAACATCAATTTGACCCACCATCAGTGGAAGGTCAGCATGGACAACCTCAATTGAAAGTCGCAGCTGAACTCGCCCATTGTTACATGCATCCCCCACTGAGGAATAGGCGTAAAAGACGGGCTACATTAGCTCGGATGTGGGCCAACAAAAATTGACCATACGAGAAGAAAAAAATATAAGCCCAGGAAAATGCGCCTCCAAACATCGGCCATTCCAAGCGAGGCCTTCTTATGAAAAGAGGCCTTAAGACATATAACTGCCAGGTTAGACTCCATAACCTCGGCAACACATGAGTCGACCTTCACAGTGGATCAATGAACCAAGGGCATAAGTTTCATAGAAAAATGATCTATCGCCTTCTCTATCCCATCCAAAAGATGTGGGCCGGAGATGGAAGTGTTAAGAACTGCCCTCATAAAGAAGATAAAAAGACATAGCCTAAAAGGATGATATCCAATTCTAGCCATCTCAGGCTAAATCCTCTTGCGAAAAGAGGCGCTAAGGCATATAATTGTTGAGTTAGGACCTATACCATCAGCCAATAAGAGCCGACCTCTTAGCAGATCAGTGACAAAAAAAGTACAATTTGTCACCTTTTCCATCCCTGCTGAGAAAGGCAGCTTGAGGAAAGAAATTTCAAAGATGGCCCTCGTGGGAAAAGAGACACTACGTCTGAAGGAGTAAGCCAAAACTCAAGAAAATTCTCAGGCATTACCGTCTTAATAGAGAAGCCATCAAGGCACTCCCCTGCCAGGCCAAGCTCTATAGCCCTAGCAAAGCAGAGCCAAAACAGCTTAGGCATAAACTTCACAGAATTGTATCATCTACTGAAAGCTTTAGCTCAAAACGTAAAAGCCGACCTTCCTGTCATTAGTGAGCTAGAGGCTTCGACGCCATTGAAAGAGGTAAAAAGATGAGGGTCAGAATAGGTCGATGTATTACCTAAAGAAATCGTATAATGTACTTGTAAAAGAGATCTGTTCAAAAACAAGGTGAAGAATAAATCACTTCGACAGAACTGCCCTTTTATATAAAATGATAAGGTAGGACCCCATAGGGGCCACCCCATAAATATGCAAATCCCATTTGACTAATTGTAAACGAGTATCGTGCATGAGCCGACAGCTCAGCCTCACGAAATGAAAAGAAAAGCAATTACAAGTGTCAAGACTTCGATTTGGGCTACAGGATGGACCCTCTTGCCTTAGAAAAAATCTATGCATATATAACAAGTCAAAGAGCTTCAAAAAATAGGGACCTCAGCTCCATTCATAAAATTCTAGTAAAAATTCGAAGTAAATAGCCTCAGGCAACATGAACCCTAGCTCTCTTCCTCGGAAATTCAGTAAAATGCTTGAAATAAACAGCTTTGGCCCATAATTTTAGCTCCTTCATCAACACTTAGAAGCTAAAGACTTGGCCTATTTCAAGGCTTCGGATTACGTCCACAATAAGTGTCTGTGCAAATTTTTATTAAGTTATTTCAATTTTAAATCCCAATTATATGAATATCTATGTTTGAATTTGGGGACTATTGTGATTACTGTTAGCTTGCATGTCGCATTATGGCTAGCACGCTTCATGACCCATCACGTCATTTTTACCAGCGCTAATATGCATATTACGTTACATACATTGTCATCAGGCATATGAGCTTCGGCCTCAATTTCGATGGCTATTGTTTCATATTTCTGGCAAGATTAAACTCTCATATAAATATTTAACAATTAGACTTG